ATAATAGTCTTTATAACTTTGAATGCTTAAACACTCAATTCAATTTGTTAGTAAACAAGATTGACTTGTTTGTTATAATCAAAACATTAAGGTCATGATCAACCATAGGTCAACAAAATTGTCTTTCGTCCCGAAACGACCAAGAGAAGGCGGAAGGTAATCTAGCAGTGCAGAATACTGCCGCACGGTGTCCCTTTCTGTGCCAAGAAGAAAGGCACCCTGTGAAACATGGTGTCTCCGCACACACGGAGAATTTTTTTTTATTTCTCGATGGTTTTGGATACAAGTTTTCCTTTTTTTTCCTCAAATAACATTTCCTTTTAGTGGCGTTGCCCCTCGACCCCCGCCATATGATGAATATCTTTCATGTTTACAAATGAATTTTTCTAAAATTTACATATATTTATTTTCAACATTAAACAACTAACATGCAATACATGTTAACCACACTAGTCTTTTGAAAAGAATCAAAATGAGGATTATATATAGAGTATGTTGTTGGACTTGTAGCATTGACTAAACCAAATGAGTCACCAAATGATATGCTAGGGCATAACCTTCTTCCTCCCATTGGAGTCATAATTTCTCAGATATGTCTAGAGCTTCAGGACGCATCCCAATGGAAAGTTTCCATTTGAAGTTGTAAAGTAGTTGAGAAAGAAGAAACTCGACGTTGGCTAAACCGAATGATATGCCGGGCATATCCTTCTTCCTCCCCCCAAAAGGGAGATATTCAAAATTTGTTCGTTGGAACTCAACATGTCCTTGAGCAAATCTCTCTAGTTTAAAACTCTCAGCAACCTTCCACTATTCGGGATCCCTATTGATTGCAGAGACATTCAAAATTGCTTTGATATTGATGGGTATTATCCTGTCGATTGCCAAGTGTCATAATGAAAAGGCAATTACAATTATGCTTGCATTGCGATCGCCTCTTGTACTATGACACTCCCGAAATTATTAGAACATTTATCCGATTAAGATTAAGTCCATGTTTGGGGATTAAAATTCAGATTTTAATCAAAGTGAAAGTCAATAATTAACCACATATTTCATGGGTCTACAATTTTTCAATCACACATTTCATTAACTTTTATAGAAATCTACAAAAAAATCTGATTTTAATCCTTACCAAACCAAATTAGGGCTAAAAATGTATGACTCAAGGTGCTACTCAAAATCACTCAGTCATTTCAAGCACCTAAATATGAATCCTACTGTTACATGTGCAACATGAGAGATTGCAGATACGATAATGCTGAAAATGAAAGGAAAGTAAAAGTGAGTGAGAAAATTTAGTTTGTTGAAGGTCTATTTATATGTCCGAATTTAAAAAGGAAAAAAAATTATATATATAAGTGTGTGTGTGTGCGCGCGCGCGTGCGCATGAAATTTTGACAAATGACAAATTCACCATTGATTTAAATCAATAGCACTGCAGGGCCATTGAATTGATAAATCGAATGGCAGCACAACCATTGATAATTCAATGCATGCATGCATGCATGCTACCTTTTATTGATACGCGAGCTTAGTTTGATCGTCTAGCCGCTCACTAGCCAACTCGTACGAGTCATCGAGTGGCTTGTATGGACGAATCGCTATTCGACACACGTCCGCAACTTGACAGTTGGCTCGAGCTCGCTAGTAGGGCGAATACTCTCCCACTTCAACCAGCTTGGTGCTCGCTAGTAAGGCAAGTCGATGAATGACTCGCACCCACTTTCCATCTTTGAGATAGATGAAAGAGGAAAAAATAAATAAACTTTTAGATAAAAATGAAATAATAATTAATACTTCGAAGTAGGGCTGAACACTAAAATCATTAATTTGTAAAATCGAACCGAATTTGCTTTTTTGAAATCGTCGGTTTGGATCCACGTAGATCCTTCAACATTTTGGTTTAGAATCGAGCCAAATCGCTTCGAAGTGATTTGGTTTAGATTTTAATCTTTACAAACTGCTTTAACCCGTCAAACCATTTACAAAAAAAAATAAAAAATAATAATCCAATTGAACTTTATATCTAAATAGACAATTATTCATCTCAATTAATTAATTAAATCATACACAAATATACATCGATCATCACGGCTGTGAATGCAAAACCCTCAAATTAGGTGTGAAGTGTTGAATTACTGTTGTTGAACCATATTCATTGACCGTCAATTACAATTGAATGGACAAGTAGATATAGATTTTAATTCAAACTCGCGCATTCTTGTTCCTTGTACTAATAAAAAAATTTTAAATCTTGACTAAATTTTCAAGTTAGTTTATTCAAAATTTCTTATTTTTTTGGTAATTATTTGTTATATTTTATTGATAGTTGTGTTGTTTTATTCTAATTTATGTCGGGCTCCCTTAAATTTTTAGCATTAACATTTTTTTTTCATTCGCGTTTCAATTTTTTGAAAATTTGACCAATAAACCTTTTGAAATGTTACTTTAGTAAAAATTGAATACAAATAAGTAAAATATTGTCCCTAAATTGCTAAAGTTGTATTAGCTATTCAAACATCTATAATGATTTTCGATTCTGCTTTACCTACCAGTGGTCGAATTCTTAATTTCTTTAGGAATTCGGTTGTGATTTATCCTAAAAATTGGTTGCATAATAACAATGGACATATAGTAATTCGTTAATATTTAGATGAGATATAACATTGGATAATTCACAAAAAAATTTAAAGAAGGTATTATCGTATTTAATCTTTCTATTCATTTTCTTTTATTAGTTGTTTTACATTATTTAATTATAATCAATAGATTCCTTACTATATTCTTATCTTTACAAAGAGAATAAATCATGTGTTACAATTGCAGATATTGTGCCAGTTAGTATCAATTAAGAAGTTAAAATGTTTCCATCATGTTGCATTACATGAATTAGAATTATAAAACTTTGATTTGTAAAATTTTTAATGATACTATTTATATTGTAACGTGAAATTTTAAATTAATATCTATGATTTACCTTATTTATATATTGTTAAATCACGGTTTTGAATCGAACCAAAACAAAAATGTGGATTGAATTGGTTTAGTTTAAAAATTGAAGTGGTTTTCTTTGGTTTTATTAAAAAAAAAAAAAACTAAACCGTTTTAAATTATTTAATTTGAAAATTTGTCACAAATCATCCAAATCGAACCGTGTGTACCCCTAGTTTGAAGAGTAACAAAATAGATAGTAAAATTAGTAGGTAAAATGTTGCGTGATGTAACAATATAAAATGGTATTTTTTATAAAAGAAAAAAATAATAATTTATTTAACTATTTATAAGGGAATAATTGTAAATTTTTCAACAAAAGTTATTCTTGTTACACCCTAGTATGTAAATTTACGAAACACGTTCATGTTGAACGAAGTTTAAATCTTAATTTAAGTCGATCAAATATAATTTTTATATGAACTCAAAATTTACTATTCCTTAATTTTCACATATTTGACAAGACTCATTGCTTATAAACTTTTAAAAATTATAATCATTTCCAACATGCAATAAAGTACCCCCGGCGTATATTGTAAATTTTCACAAGAAAAAGGGAAAAGTAAAATAAATTTATTTTTCCTTTTTTCTTATCTCCTTCTCTTTTGTTTTTTTTCGAGCTTTACCATGGTTTCCAACATGTACAGCGAAAATGCTGGATTAGAAAGTCAAAATCAGGGTTCTTCGCAACCCTCTCTTCTCTGGATTTTAGGGCTTTTAAATGAATAATAAACTTCTCCTTTAACCACCAAACACTTTATTCCAACGTTTTCAGTTTTAATTACATATAATTCGGTGTAGTTACGTTGATTGCGTATACATAAGACAGGTGATTGCGCTTTACTTGAAAATTTAATGGGTCGTTCCCGTGGAAATTTCCGTGCTGAAGAAGATCCCAGTCAAAGGTTCAGCTTTAATTTTATGTCTTCATTAATTTCTTTGCATATACTATCGATGCTTATACACATTATATGAACTGGGTTTTGTATTTGATGTTCAATAAGATGGTTTTGTGGTTCTATTAGAATTATGTTTTCTTTTTTTGTTATTATTTTGAGCTGTTTTCTTACATTTGCTGTCAATATGTGATTTTTAGGGATAATATGATTTGGGTTTGTGTTTGATTAACTTTACCCCTTATTGCTGTTTTTTACTAGGAACAGATTAAACATGTCCATTTTGCATTATTATTTGTGTGTAATTATTATCTTTTTATGTCTTCTTGTGAGTATGTTAAAATTGAATTTCCATTGAAGGTCACATTTGTAACTATTGCCAAGATCACATCTTCCTTGCACAAAATTTCAATGAAAAGTCATGCTATCATTGGGCTAATCTGTTTTAATTTTTGCAGTTGCGTTAGAATGACAAAGAATGATTGTATTTTATTGTACTGAAGCTTCATGTAACTTTAGTTAACTATCTTTTCCATCACAATGCTTGTGTACTTTCAGATCAAGGAGAAAAAAGAATGCATCAAGTGGTGAAAATATAGAGTCTGTTACTGTAGGTAACTCGCTTTCTCTTCAAGGTGATATTAATATTAATGAGGGAGAAATTGCAGCTTATCTTACATTCTGATGTCTCAAAACAGAGAGCAGCATGCTATCACTATCTTGCATATTATTGATGAAGTTGATGACCTATGAATATTTGGATGTAACAATAAAAGATTTTTGTATTTTGGCCGTTAGACGGTGTGATTAGGTAGAGAACGCCTTAGGTGCCGCCGGGCTTATTTTACTGCATACTTGGCTTCTAACTTACTTCTTTGTCTCCTTTTATGACATTGACTCTTGTTTAATAAGGTCAAGGTACCAGTGATGGGAAAAGGGCTCTGTACCATTGCAACTATTGTAACAAAGACATCACAGGGAGAATTCGTATCAAGTGCGCTGTATGTTCTGATTTTGACTTATGCATAGAATGTTTCTCAGTTGGAGCCGAGGTTCATCCTCACAAAAGCAATCACCCGTACAGGGTTATGGTCAGTACTACCATCTGAAGATGGTACTTTTACAAAACTTAATGCAAAGAATCCACTACCCTAACTCCGAAGTTAATTTATATTATCTCAGATGTTTCAGATAAATATGTTATTCTGTTTGTCTCAACGAGAATATACTAGCAAAACATTCCATATTTTGATTCCACACGAATGTAAATTCTCTTTGCAATTATCTCTTTATAAGTGGGTTTGCACGAGATATAGTGATTCAGATTGTGCAATTTTACCGTGGATTTCGGTTTCCTTTCAAATTTGCCAGAAAATGTTTGTTGTATATAGCATGAGGATAGAAGGGAATAATGTGCCTTTTGTCAGTCTTATCCCAAATATATTACCATATGGATCATGTGTTATTTCTTCTTTGTCCTATATTATATTTTTCAGTTATTCTAAGTTTTCCAAGTCACACGAGTCTTCCATGCAAAATATTGCTGCAATGCTACCAAAGGGATGTATCGCCTCGTAGTTCTCATAATTTTGCTACTGTCATTGGAACAGGACATCTTATCATTTCCTCTCATCTGTCCGGATTGGAATGCTGATGAAGAAATGTTACTTTTGGAGGTGTTTTATAATCTCTTTTTTTAAGTTTTTGTCATCTCATTGATTAGTAAAGTATTCTCATTTCTTTTTTGAAAGTGTTATCTCACCTGGCTTCTGTTTTCTGATTTGCTTTATTATATATCACATAAATAGGGAATTGAGATGTATGGCATGGGTAACTGGGCTGAAGTTGCTGAGCATGTTGGGACAAAGATAAAGGAATTGTGCATTGAACATTATAGGAATGCTTACCTAAACTCTCCTTACTTCCCTCTACCGGTATAGTTAATTGCAAAACTAAGTTATTTCTAAGATTTGATTTTCCTTTCTTGAAACTGACTCAAACACATTTCATTTCTCAGGATATGACACATGTTGTTGGCAAAAACAGAAAAGAACTGCTTGCTATGGCTAAAGGGCACCTTGAGGATAAAAAGGGTAACTTCTGTTGATAGTCCTCTCCATTATGCATCTCTCTCTCTCTCTCTCTCTTGAACATGGGACCTTTTTTGTACACGTCTCTTAAATATTAAAATGCCTTAACAGAAAGTATGAGGGGTGAATTAACTAATTCTGTTGGGCAATATTTCTCGGTAGACTTCAATCGAGTGACTTCAGCTGGCCTGTTTTGTGGATCCGTGGATTGCAATTTATTGCTTAACACAAAATATTGTATGATCAGGATGTTTAGTTGTGTAGAATTTTTTCTATGCTATTGGTTTTAACTTATAAAAAGCTTTGTAATTTCGATTGTTTGTGAATTGAAGAGAGTGCGACCACTCGTAATGTAACACGTGATTCTTCGTCTAATTTTTCATTACAATGATTTTGCTTCTTAAAGCGAAACTTAATGTAATAATTGAATATCAGAGATTCATAATTACTATTCCAAATTGATAGTACATCACATTGGCTATCTCTGCCTCTCTGATACTCAAAGTTTACAACTTTTGGCAATCAGCATTTTATACATAGTATGATATACTTTATATAATATTTTTTGAAGTTATTGATTCGTACTTGGGATTTCTGTGCCAGGTGAACTTCCAGTGAAGGAGGAATCCCCATTTTCCCCCTCAAGAGTCAAGTATAATTGTTGTTTTGCATTATTTAGAAGTTGTATTTTTCTTTTTACGTGTTCTGATATTTTCTATATATACTGTCAGAATTGAAGATTCCTACAAAAATGGTCCTTCAGGTCGTTTGCCTTCTGCTTCAAATACAGGTAATTAGACTTTCATTTGATTAGTGACCATGAGCTCAAAGTCTACCAATATCAGTTGAATTGATGTTTATTATATGCATGCCTGGTTGTCTTGTTGGATTAGGATCTATTTTGTTATTGATCGAGATCCACGACCTGGGTCCGAACTAAATATGAAGACCATAAAATAAATATTCATGGATTCAGGTTATCTGACTCGATGAGTTTTGCGCCCTGTTTAGTTAAGATATTAAGAGCCTGTTTGAACCCCATTTTTTTGTTTAAAATGCATTTTGGAATAGTATTTTAACGGATAATGTGAGGTTAAAAAATAAAGAAAATTTTTTGGTTTTCGTATAAAATTATTTTATTGAAAAATGTGTGGTTGAAAATAAAAGAAAGAAAAATATATTTTGGAGATAATGGAGACCAAACAAGGGCTAAGCCCTACTTTGATCCCGACTTTTTAAAAACTTATTTTTCTCCAAATTCTTCCAATAAAATAATTTTACATGTAAATTCAAAATTTTTCCCTACTTTTTATAACCGCTCATTCTTTAAAAAAATCACTATTACAGAATACATTTTCTATAAAAATGGTGTCAAACACACCATTGTTATTGCATAAAGAGATTAGACCCATTGATAGTCCTTGACTTCTTCTACAACAGAGAGATTGTCATTTTATTAGTACAAATATTGCAGGAACTACGGACAGTAAAAAGGCATCCAACATGGTCCAGGTCAAGGAACAGCCTGATTCTCTAAAACTGGATGGTACCCTAACTCTTTCTTGTTTTATGCTGTCATTGAATTCTGATAGAGTTATAACTATCTGTTTAGTTGTCAATCATATACTTTCTAATTTCTTTCAGATCATCTATCAGGCCGGAGTTTTGGCAGTAAGAAACCTAAATCTGCTGAGGACGAGGGTCCTTCTTTGTTGGAGTTAAGTGGTTATAACCCGAAAAGACAAGAATTTGAAACTGAATATGATAATGATGCTGAGCAGTTGCTGGCTGATATGGAATTTAAGGAAACTGATACCCAAGAAGAGCGTGAGTTGAAATCACGTGTGCTCCGTATATATTCAAAGAGGTAACTTTCAATTATAGTCTAGATTTCTTACAACTGATAATTGTTTTAGGGACATTGAGTGAAGGAAGACATTCAATATTTTCCATGTACCCGGGACCCTTTTTTGATGCTCCATATCAGTGGATAAAGATAAGAAGAGAAAGGAAAGATAAAAGAAATGTGTTATTGCTATAAACACACATACTTTGCAGAAGTGAACAGTTATTTGCGAGAATATGGTTAATGAGTAACCCATAATAAAAAGATTCATTCTATATGATTAAATTTTGTTTTTCTGCTATCGTTAGTTCATTATCATTTTTTTTTGTTTATGTTATGTCTTTGAATTCACTGTTCCTCATATTGTTGTCAGACTCGATGAGAGGAAACGCAGGAAAGATTTCATTCTCGAAAGGAATTTGCTCTATCCTAGTCCATTTGAGGAGCAATTATCTCAAGAAGAAAAGGATTTATGTCGAC